CGGGCCGCCGGGGCGGAGGCAGGGAAGGGGCTGTCGGCGGTGCCGGCTGTGAGCGGCGGCGGGCGGCCCGTGGGCCGGGAGGGGGCTCTAGTTGCTGCGGTGTGACACCGTGGAGCTGAACGTCTCTGCCGACAGGCGCCAGGCTCGCCTCTGCTTCAGCCTCTTCGAACTGTTGATACCGAGAGGCCTCATTCCTGGGTTTGCTTTTCTCCTGAAAATCTCATAATAGCGAGATTAAGGTGCCTTTTTCAGCCTTATCTTTCCAGATGTCAAACTTTGACTCTTCAGCTTTTCATAGTTGAAGGAAGTACATTAAATTTCTTTCTGCAGATAAAGACATGTTGACACCACCTAATCTGTTTAATGGTTTTAAAGAGAATAGTAATAAAACTGGGAGAATCATAAAGCTAAAATAGTATTCCAAGATCTGATCTTTCACTAAATTGCTATGCCATATGCTGCCTGAACAGTTATTTTGCCCTTAGATATATCTGTGCCTATATGTATACATATGTAGGTGTGCGTGTATGCATACATTTGTACATATTTGTATGCCCATATACACAAAAATATGTATATATCTTTATACATAAAACCACCTGTGTGTATGTATATAAAACCACACCTGTTTGTGCTTGCCTCTTAGCTCTGAAATTATTGTTCACAATGTGGCGCTTAAGTCTGCTGTTTTAGATATGTTACTATAAATAACATTGCTGCTTTTCTTCAGCATAAGCAACTTTTAAGTTGCAGGCACTTCTTTTAGGCTCTGTGCTGCCTTATTCTCAAGAAGCATGACTGTGACCTACAGCATTGATAGAACTGGTTAGAATGGACCTTTTAGGGGCTTTCCCAGACACGAGCAGTGTAAATCACTTGTCGCATGCTGAGATCTAAACTGGTCGCAGCAGTCTTAAGTGTTGGGAAAATGTCCACGGAGTTCAGGTTTTCTTTTGTTGCTTTACGTAGCAGCAAATGCAATTCCTGGAGAGGTTTAGGTTCTCATCATCCTCTTAATATTCACGTTTTGACTTTGATTTAAATGTGTTAGAGTGTGATGTTTGACTTATTAAAATCTGGTCAAATCACTGACTGGCAACACAGACATGTCATTGGTATTACTCAGATGTGCTGCCATCACTAATGTTGCTGCCTACTCTGAAAGCTAGCAGAAGTTTGAATTTGAATAAGGTATTCAGGCCTGGAAAGGAAAAAATTATGTATCTTGGAGTCTGGTCATCAAATCTTAGTGTTCATCTGTGTTAGACCTGCAGGTATGGTTTTATTGCTTAATCTGGCTTTACTCTAAAAAATACATACAATACTGGATTGTACTGTTAACGTGCTCTTGACACCTAACTGAAGTTTGCTTTAGCTGTCAGTTGGTATTTTCTGTCAAAACGTTTTTAGTTTTTCTAAGTCTTTTGTAGTACTCTGGTCAGCTCTGTTCCTGCCTGCCCCCTGATCAGCAGTTTAAGGTTCCCATCTCTCTATGTGCCTCCTGCTGCTCTCGGTGTCTCTCTGGATCCTTGCTTCTCCCTGTGCCTAAAAATTAATACTACTTATTTCCTCTTTTACTTGTTACCACCAAGAAAAAAGAAGGGGTGGAGGGTTAGGGAGGACCAGAGTCATGTTCTTTTCGAGTTCTAATGAAGCAGCAGTGGCTCTGTCCCTGTTGCCTTTGGCAGCCCCGTGGCCTCTGGTGAGGGTCTCCTGCTCCTGACCCATGCACCGAGAAGTCCAAAGCCTGTGTTTTTGCATTGTTTGCTGTATAAGCAGCAGCCCAGCATTCCTGAGAGAGGGATGTAAACGTTCCTTTTAATATTTGGAGGTTGCAGGAATGAGGAAATAAATTGTCTTCTCCTCCCTCTGACAGGGGTCCTGCACTTAGTCACCTAATGAGATCTCTCCAGGAAGAAAAAGTACAACCTGGCCTGTGGTGATGCAGATAATAAGTTGATGTCACAAGAGTAGGGATGATAATAGAAGTGAAGATGCAGTGGCTCCTTCCCAGCAAATCGGTAGCTGTCACACCCCCAGACTGTGCCTCAAGTTAGCTTTTATTCTTTGCCCTTGCTTACTTCCTGTAGCCATCAGTTCAAAGTTACTGTTAAGTCTTTGGAAGCAAAGACTAAGTGGCATGTCTGTGATTTGTATTTCAGTCCTAGCATACATTTGAGGCCTGCTCCCAGCTGGGAATTTAGCCATCTATTGAGTAATCTCAGGTTATAGGTATGATGAGATGTGCTTTGGCTAATTCCACACTTTCACAAAAAAGTGTGTTGGTGTTGATGGCTTGGGAATGGACTTGTGACACTTGCAGTTAGAGAGAGGATGATTTGGAAGCACATACAAGTACACCTGGTAACTTTCATTCTAGATTGGTAGGAAAACTTACCAGACTTTTTTATTTAGATCTTATTTAATAAAAATGTATTGCTATAATAATCTAGTAATTGGAATACCACTAATAATTGGTATACTAAGGTAGTGGCCTTCTATGATGGAGTAACTGCATCAGTGGACAAGGGAAGAACTACTGATGTCTGCCTGGGCTTCTGTGCTATTTAGTGTCTTCATCAGTGGCATTGAGTGCACCCTCCGCAAGTTTGCAGGTGACACCGAGCTGGGTGATGCAGGGGATTCACTTTGCAGAGGGAAGGGATGCCATCCAGAGGGGCCATGGCAGGCTGGAGGAGTGGGCCGGCACGAGCCTCAGGAAGTTCAACAAGGTCAAGTGCAAGGTCCTGCCCGGGGGTCAGGGCAGTGCCCGGTATCGGCAGAGGCTGGGGCTGCTGGGTTGAGATCAGCCCCGCAGAGAAGCACTTGGGGATCCTGGTGGACGAAGACTCAGGCGTGAGCCGGCACCGTGCGCTGGCAGCCCAGAAATCCAGCCTTGTCCTGGGCTGCATCGAGCACGCGTGGCCAGTGGGGCGAGGGAGGGGATTCTGCCCCTCTGCTCCGCTCTGGTCAGAGCCCACGTGCAGCACTGCCTCCAGCTCGGGGGCCCAGCGCCGGCCAGACTGGAGCTGTTGGAGCGGGGCCAGAGGAGCCCACGACAGCGACCGGAGGGCTGGGACCCCTCTGCTGGGAAGAAAGGCTGAGAGAGCCGGGGGGTTCAGCTGGAGAAGAGAAGGCTCCGGGGAGCCCTGGCTACGGCCTCTCGGAGTGTAAAGGGGGAGCATAAGAGACACAGGGAAAGGCTTTTTACTGGGGCCTGCGGTGACAGAACAAGGGAGAGGGCGGGTGTAGGCTGGGTGTGAGGAAGAACCTTTTCTACCCTGACAGATTTGCCCAGAGAAACTGTGGCTGCCCCCTCCCTGGAAGGGTTCAAGGCCAGGTTGGACGGGGCTTTGGGCAACCTGGGCTGGTGGAAGGTGGCCCTGCCCGGGGCAGGGGGTGGCACTACATGATCTCTAAATTTCCCTTTGACCCAAAGCATTCTGTGATTCTGTATTCCTGGTGCAACACTAATTAATGCTTTGACTGTCTCCTGCATTGCCCATTTACTCCATTGTCTCTAGTGCAGGTGCAGATAATAACAAATATAAGCAGTGAACTTCTTAGTGTAAATTAAATAACTAGAATAACATGTTTTGCCGCTGCTCTAAAACCAAGTAGTTACTGTGTAATCTGCAGAATTGCAGGTTAACATTATAAGTTTAGATACGTTAATTCTAACCAAGTCATAACCCCCTTATCCCATTACAGAGATTAATCGCTGATTTAAGTAGAAGATTAAACAGCGCTTAGATGAAAATTCTGCCTCTGCAAATGAATTAATTTTTTTTTTCCCGGAGAATGTTTCTTGTTAAGGTGGTATATTTCATTTATGAAATAGGAGAGATAAGTCTAACTGTTGAACTTTTTTTCAGATATTTCTGTTGAAAGTAGATAAAATGGCAACATTAATTCACACTTTAGCAGATCATAGTGATGATGTCAACTACTGTGCCTTCTCATCATCGTGCTTGGCTACTTGTTCCTTGGACAAAACAGTTCGTGTTTATTCTCTCAAGGACTTCACTGAGCTTCCATACTCGCCCCTGCGGGGTCACACATACGCGGTGCACTGCTGCTGCTTCTCTCCGTCAGGACAGCTCTTGGCCTCCTGCTCCACGGATGGCACCACGCTGCTGTGGGGCAGCGGCGACGGGCGGCTGCGGGCCGTGCTGGGCCAGCCCAGCCGCAGCCCCGTCCGCGTCTGCCGCTTCTGCCCCCGCACCACACACCTGCTCGCAGGGGCAGCGGACGGGAGCCTGGCGCTCTGGGACACGCAGACCTTGAAACTCTACAGGTGAGTGCCAGGTGCCCTTTGATGGCCTTGTTTGCAATAACAAGAGTGTAATTTCAGTAGTGTGCTGTACTCTGTACAAGACTTGCAGACTTGGGCTACCAGTTGGTATCACAAAGCAATAGGAGTATGATTTAGAAGATGGAAAGATTATCAATAGGAGAGGGAGTGGAAACTGAAGAAGCTTTAATTTTTACTAAGTTATCTTTCATCTAAATCCTCATATTTCGTAAGTTCATGGATCAGTTTTCATTGACTTAACATGAAATTAGGATACATTGCGAGCTGCATGCATCTGGTTCCTAAACAGTGGGACAGCAAACTATGATACGTAATACACAGTTAGTGGAGCCTGACTCTGCTGTGTGCCTTATATTGCATTATATGTAGTGGTTTTTAATGAAATATTCAATTACAAGGCTGTTTGGAGTCCAGGATGGTCTTAGAAGCTTGATAGTGATCCAGTAATCAAAGACTACTGACTTATCTTGAAACCACACAGTTTAGCACATGTAAGAGACAGGAGTATCGGAGCAGAGTGGGTTAAATATGAGAGTCAGAATTTCACACAGGTTTCCAATAAACAAGTGGAACAAAGCAGGTGAGCATTTTTTGTGATGTTGCAGAGTTAAAGGCATGAACCTTAGGATGATCTGCAAAGTCCTCCCCTACAGAGTAAAGAATTCAGGCCCGTTGGAATCTGTATTTAGGCAAGACATTATTTAGGTTTCAGAGCAGCAATTATACAACATCTCTAAAGCTAGGAAAGAAGTTAAGAATTTGAGAGAATTAATGAGATGTTTCACTCAGGATGAGGGGGCAGGCACTTACAAAAGCCAAACTTGTTTGGTTTTAGCAATCCCCTGTCAAGCGTGTTATGGCTCTTGTGGCCACTCTACCTTTGCCTTCCACAGCAGTGATTTAGATGGGAGCTGTAGAATTTTTCGGAATGATTGATTATAGTTACCTGAAGTCATGTAAATCTGGAAACCTGTCCATAAACAGAATTCTGATAGATTTTTGCCACCTATTGTTTGTGATACATACAAACGCACTGAATTGTTTTTGTTTTCAGAGAATTAAGGAGGTATTGATTACATATTGTTTCTTAGTTTTATCTGTAAGAAAAATAGGGAATTTCAGCTACTAGTGTTCTGAGGTCTGAGGGTTTATCTGTTTTGAGATAATTCTAATGAAGGTGGTGGGTTTTTTTATTCAGAATACTTGTTATTGACAGGGAAAACCCCAGAAATACTAAAAAGTAATCTCTGACAAGTATATGCTATTAATATATGCAGTGATGCATATTTTAGACCTACATCCTTAATTTCCTCCTAGTTGAATGGTGACTGTATAATTACCATGTAGAAACTATATTATTGTTTTAAGCGGAAATTTTTCTAGTTTGGTGTTTCCCTTGTAAAGAAACAAAAACACTTGAACATTCCAATCCTGTCCCCTTCACTTCACTTAGAAAGTTCATTTCAAAGTGTTAACATGCCAGCAGTAGTCAGCTTAGCTTTAATTGTATATATTTTGGGATGTGTCTGTATATATATTTTCAGCTGATTAGTTGTTTTTTTAATTATAATTTGTAATTGCAGATTAAAAAGTGCCCCAGTCCTGTTTTCCTAAAGCTGAGATCAGTATTACTTAGGAAATGATCAAGGTTCTTAAGTATGTCAGTGGGTTTCAGTTAGCCATCTAATGTCAGTCTGTGGTCCACTGTTTCTTTTGCAACAGTTGATTCTGTTGATGCTAAAAAATGCCTTTTGCCACACTATTACATCACTTCACTAAACATGCAGATGGTAATTACAACAAAGGTATCCAGTCACTCCTTATCAGCTCGGCTGCTGTAATTGACTGTCTGTCCAAATTGTGATGCAAGATGACTCTTTAAATCATCTCTGAGCTGGATGTGAACAACATGAAAGCAAGTTAATTTATCTGTATTTCTTAGTGTTCTCTATTCCTGTTCCGTAGTTATTATACTGATATCTGGCCTGAAAGTCTTAAATGCATACTCTGAACACGTATAGTACTTTTTGTTTTACTGTTATGTTTTCAGAGCAGAATCTGCAGCTTTATGTGTGAAGGAGGGAAAGTTTTAAAAGCTGCACTAAGGAAAAGGAATGGTGCATATAAAAATGGAAAGCACTGTAGTGGATTTGATATTATTCTTAATGATGGAATTAAGGGAGTCAATGCGTTTTGAAGGTCCTGGGTCTGATTAGAGAGACACTCAGGAAAAGTTTATTGTCTTGTCTTCTGTGGCATTAAGTGTGACACCTCTGGCAGTAAATAAAAACTCTATCAATCAGTAAAAGAGGATGAGCAGCTGTTCTGCAAAATACAATGACAGAGTGAGACTGACATTTCTTGCCGTTTGACTGTTGCTTATGGCTGTGATTATTTTCCTACACTTAAAGATTAATCTGTCCATGCTGGGCCAGATCTAGTGTCCATTAAAAGGAGAGAGACATTTCAGTTTACTTGAGGTTGCTATCAGATAACCTACGGGATGTGAGGTTGAGCCCACTTCCTTCCCAAGGGTCAACCGCACTTCCATATCTGCTAGAAATTTTATTTTGAGATCAGTTTTACGAAGTGCTTTGGCTCACTTAGTTTTAAAATATAGATTTTTTTTTTTCACATTGCATTGTTTTGTGTACGAGTAGTCCAAAATTAACCCTATATCATAAATCACAACATATTTGACTTGGCTACAGCTTATGATATGGGTTAGTAGGTGTTATGTTTTGTCTTTAAAAACAGAACAGAGAAATTGTGTGAGTCTTTTTTCCCCTTGTTTATGCACATGTGAATCTGTTATGATAGTTGTGTATTTGACTTATAAAATTTATCCTGCCACAGAATTTTAACAGTGCATTGTGCCTTTCAAATGGTAAGTCCCTGCAGATTGTCTTTAGTTTGAGAATTATTTTATTACTCAAATTATTGCCTTGGGGTGCTATCTCTCTCACATTTTCCCTTCTGCAGTCAAAGAGTAGGCCCTGATTCTTGCAGCTGTGCTTATTTTGCATCTCCTTCCACAGTTGGTGTGTTTCTCTCCCTTCTGTTACCAAATTCCAAAGTGCAAAACTTAGAACAGCTTGTCTTGTTGTATCAGACTGCATTTTAGAGATCACTTGTTCAGAACATTACTTATTCTAAATTCAAATCCCATGTACTCTTGCTTTTCAGGTCTGGGAATGTTAAAGATGGTTCTTTGGTGGCCTGTGCATTTTCTCCTAATGGAAATTTCTTTGTCACTGGATCATCATGTGGTGATTTAACCATTTGGGATGATAAAATGAGATGCCTGTATAATGAAAAAGCACATGATCTTGGCGTTACCTGCTGTGATATTTCTTCACAGCCAATTTCTGGTTAGTTACTTGACTCGTCAGGGGAGGAACATGTTAAAAAAAAGCATTCTTTTATTTCTCTCTAGCTCTTGTTTTCATATTCTTTTTGACATCAGTGCTCAAGATACAAACGACATTGGGAAGAGCTGATGTTTTAGAATATTCTGAATATTCTTAAGTAAAGTTGGGTCAGGTTTATGACAAGGAATGTACTAGGTCAACAGACAAGGTGATTAGCATGCTTATGGTAACTTTCAGTAGCAAATGACCCTGTCTGGGTTTTGGAAAATGTGTGGGCAGTGAAGCCTATCCCCTGGGGCTGACAAGGGTCTGAGGAGATGCAGTGCTTGATGACCCCTCCCGCTTTACTCTTTCATACTTTGGTTCCCCAAGGAGCAGGACTGGGTTAAAGCAATGCAGAAAACCCTAAATGAGATAAGCTGAATGCTTGAGCTGTTGGATGTGAATACATGGACTGTTTTCCTGCACCTGACTTTATCCATTGGCGGAATCTGGGGGAGCAGTGCGCCCAGAATCTCCTGTGTCCCACTAAGATGTGGGACTGTTCAAATGTCTTGCTGCCGTTTTAGCTGACCTCATTGTATAAGTTGCATTTCAATTTTGACATTATGTGCTTCTTCACAGTTGTGATGGGCAGGAACTTTGTTTTTTCTTTTGAGAATGAAATCTGATATTCTTGTATATATATATATATTTGGGTATTGAGATCAGAAAACAAGGCATGCTAGTGTAGGCCTTTCTCAGGGGTGTGTTGCACGTTCAGTTTTTATTCATTTCACATTTGTAAGGCTTTCTGTGGAACTAAAATATTTAGAACCTAGATTTATCTATATGCAAAACCAAAATTGCATATTTAAACTTCCAGCTATCTCAGGGAAAGCTTTGCATTTGTGTATACAGGCTTTTTGAATTATTATTTTGGTTTAACCCCGTGCGGTGGCTCAGCCCCATGCAGCCGGTCTCTCCCTCCCGTGGGGTGGGGAGAGAATCGAGGGGCAGGAGTGTGAAAACTCATTGAGGTAAAGGCAGTTGAGTGGAGAAAGCAAAAACTGCAGTGCAGGCCAGGCCAGAGGAGGAATTCATTCCCTGTTCCCTGGGGCTTCGCCATGCGGGACAGTGGCTTGGAAAGGCAAAAGCCCTCACTCCTCAGAGTTGCATGTTAAGTTCACACAGCTTGTACAGTAAGAAAAAACATTTGCACAAACAAGAACTGGTAGAAATTGACTGCAGTACAGGGAAGTGTCTTAGCCAAACAACTGAATATTGGACATTCTGAAATATTTATGAGTCTGAAAAGCTGAAAGGTTAATTTGTATAAATTTTTGTCAGGTAAAAGTGTTTTATAAAGAGTTAGAAAATCATTTGGTCATCTGCTTTTGATGGAGATTGGGAAATTGGACAGAAACCTCATTGTCAGATTTGGGAAGTAAAGCTGTAAGTTGTCTTAACTACCTCTTAGATATACTTTTGTGCTTTCCAGCTCTACTATGGAGACAAAGTGGTCTCCATAAAGATTCTGTTTCAGAGTACACACGAGGTGCTCTTTCAGAGGTACCAATAATTATAACTGAGCAGCCACTTGCATCTTTCAGTGCTAAACACAGCAATAAGTTCTGCTGTCTGTGTACCTCCTTGTCTAAGAAGGTGGTACAGGGCAGGAAAAAAGCAGAAGCAGGAAGGAAAAAAAGGGCAGAAGCAGGAGAATGCTGAGGAAGAAGGATGTGAGCATATACTTCAGTACAGAGAGCTAGTGACGGACAATACCATATCAGTCAAACGTGTGTCCACTGAAAGGTGCAGGGGCAGCACTAAATTAGTCTGTCACAACAGAAAGGGGATTAATCTCTTAACACCTCTAGATCTTTCTTGGTGAAAATACTATTAAAAAATCCCATTGTGAAACAAGAGCTGCATCCGAGGGCAAAGGAGCACCCTGAAGCTGAAAGAGAGCAGAGTGTGATTTCCACCACTTCCTTTGCTGTTGGGATTCTCTTGGTTTAAAAAAGAATGTTACCAACCCTTCAGCCTTCTGCCAAGATAGGAATAGGCAAGAAAGCATTTCCTAGACTGTAGATTTTTTAGCTGATTTATGATCATTCTTAATTTTATTTAAGCCATATGTTATTGAAAGTCAACATTTTTCCTTTTCATGTGTTGCTGTTTAATCATGAAGGATTGAAACTTCTGGGATTATTGGCAGATTTAATACATTACAAAATTCCATACAAGTAGTGCTTATCCAGTACAATTAAACATGGTTTTAGATAGAGACTCTCCTTACCTGCTGAATTCAGAGCAAAAACCAGAGTTTCTAATAGGTTCTTTGTGCTTTAGGCCATTTGTGGCGGATGTTGCTCCTGCCCTTAAAGTAGATTCAGTGGCAGTTGCACAGAAGTTCATCAGATCTAGAGCAGTTGTCGTGCTGCACGGGCTCTGCCATCCAACTGCAAAATTTCAGTGCTGTCCTCCTCCTGAATAAGTAAAATTCAGTGAAATGTCCTAGTGATACTGCTAAAAAATTGGCAGATCTTGATAAAATTTTCTAGTGATCCTCGGTGGAAGTCAGTGTAGTCGTCCTCTGAGTTATCCCAGAGAGCTCTGTGTGTACAACACTGTAATACCCCATTAATGGATTGGTAACCTGTAATGTCAGTGTCTGCATCATGACAGAGTTCTCATCCAGACCAGGTTACCAAGTAACATGTTCTTAGTTACCAAGAACCATCTGGTTTTACAGCATGATAGCTAATGCATGCTACTCATCTCCCTGTAAGACCCAAATCTTACACTGTAAAATCCTAGCAAAAGTGATGCGCTCTGACGCTTTAATGTTTAACAGATTTGAGGTAAGTCCTGGGATCTGCTATAGTCATAGCAGCTCTGATTGTTCCTGTGAACAAACCAGCCTGTGCATACTATAATATATTTTATTGTGATAACCATATGAAATTAAAATATACTTTATGTGGTGGAAAAAGAACTTCTGTAATTATTTTTATTAACAATTTTTAAAAGTAGTACTGAGATTAAGGAAATTTACCAAATTCCAGTGTAAGAACGCTGATATAGTTTGCTGATATGCTGTTATTTTCAGTGCTTCTGATTCCCATTAATACATTTAAATTTTATTAGATGGTGAACATGGATTCACATACTTCCAGATGGCTTCTTGTGGTCAAGATAATCAGATCAAACTCTGGCTTATTTTGTTTACAGATGTCTTAGGTGGGTATAGTGATGTTTTTTTCATATTCCAGTGTCTTAAATCTTTATTGACAATTGACATCTAAGATCAAATTTATACATCTGTTAATGGATTCACAGCCAAACTAACCACAAGTTGAAAGTTTTCCTTTAATTGTTCAGCAGGCGAGCAGCTAAGGCATGCAGCACTTTGTGACATTGGGCCCTGTGGATTGTTATCTAGTTATCCATTTATTAATAATTGTAAAAGAAAAGATTTTTTTAAAAGTCCCCTAATTCCCTCAAACTTAATATTGTGATAAACATTTGGTTTTAATTAGCATGTTTACCTTTTGTTAAGCACTAACGATTCTACTGTGGCCTTTGAGCAGGTTGATAGGTTGAAACCTCTTAATCTCCCAGGCCAGGGAGAGGTTTCCTTTCAGCTTTCGGTACACCTTGGCCCGTGAGTGAGAGGTGGAGAAATGAAAACAGCGTTGGCTCCTGTTAAAACTGCAATGTAGGTGTGTGACTGCTATGTAGAGCCTAGGCAGATGGCCAAAACCATCCTCAGTGGGTATTTTTTGTAATCTCTCTTTTATGGAACTCTGTAAGGATGAGTATTGTGTGCATACACAAATACACATTTAGTTACATAAAACACTGTTACACATGCTAAGACTGCAAAGTGAGGAAGTCAGAGAAGTTAAAATCAAGTTGTCTCTGTGATCTTTTACCCCCTTTTTGTAGACAGTATGTCAGAGTCATCTTTGGTGCTTCTTTATGCTTCTAAAAGCAGCCTGTCTTATACCTTGTCAAATATGTCCATATGTAATAATTTACTTTTTTGTGTTTTCAGGTGTTGAATTAAAATATAAATGCACCTTGAGTGGACATTCTGCCCCAGTTCTGGCTTGTGCATTTTCTTATGATGGGCAGATGTTAGTCTCAGGGTAAGCAGTATCTTTTGGTTAAATTTCATACAGATGGCTGTCCAAATTCATGCTTCAGTATTATTAAACAAAGTTCAAAAGAGTTGAAGGTTTCAAAATATATTTTGAATCATTAAGGAATAATTCTGTGAAAGTGTCTCGCAGGTGATTGAGTTTGAAATCTAGGATGTTGCAGGCTTGGTTCTCTTGAGTATTGTAATGAGATTCATTGTTTCCTGGTTTGGGGGCATTTATGTGGCCTTCCATGTGGATAGTCCAGCATCTATTAAAAACAGACATCTACATTGCAGTCTTACCATCTCTTTGGGACACCATTTAGGATTTCCATCTCACTCATGCACTTTCAAGAACTTTTTACACAGTTTAGTATCTTGAGATTTTTGTCTTTGATAGATGTGGTCAGAATGAAAAATCTCTTTGCTGATCCACACCCAGAGTATGGCAACATAAGCCTTCTTTCCATAGAAGCACATGATTGAGATGACTGTAAGCCTGTGTTTTTGAGTCAGGCCTGTACAGAACAGTGGTTAAGACCCAAGTTAATCATGAACTGTCAGTTAGAGACTAATACTATTACCGGTGTTTGTCAGAGGGTGGAAAGGTAACTGATATATAACAATACTGATAATGCCAGTGTCATTGCAGGGTCACTTTTATGTTTGAAAGACCCAGGAGGGTGGAGGTGATGGGAAGATTCCTGATGACTGGAAAGATGCAAATGTCACACTTGCCTCCAAGAAGGGCAAGGCAGAGGATCTGGGGAGCTACAGGCCCAACAGCCCCCAGACTCCAGTTTCTGGGAAGGTTATGGAGCAAATCCTTCCAGGGGGCTTGGTGGCCGTTGCTGAGCACAGCATGCCTGGGGAGAGCAGGACTTGAGCGGGGGCAAACGGCCTGGCCAGTGGCCTGCGGCCGCACCTCACCGTGAGAGAGACTTTTGGCTGGTTTCCCAGTGTAGTCTTGCAGCCTCTGGGGAGATACAGACAGAAAAGTTAACTCTAAGTTGTGTGAAAAAAATGATGTGACCGTCAGGCTCAAATTGGCATTGGTGATCAGCAGCATGGAGATAAACTGGCAGCTGGTTACTTGTGGCTTTCCTCAGGGATCAAGCTATTGAAAGAGGAAATGATAAATAAGGTAGATAGATATAATAATTTATGTTTTTATGAATATTAATGACTGTGCTTTTATTCTACACTTCTCATGAGAAGTGCTTAATCACTTCTGAACTGTCTTAAGTGGCAACTTGAAATAACAAAATGGTTCAACTCTAAATTCTGTCTTTTTTATGAAGACTTTATAAACTGAAACAGAAAAACTGATGTCTTGCAAAGGGAAAAGACTACAATAGCCAGGAAATAAACTTAAACCTATCCAGACCCCAGGAGACAATACCTTGGTTTGACATTTTGCTTTGTGTTCTTTTTAAGGGAGTCTTTTCCAGTATTTGAAAATTATTATGAATGTTTGTGATCTGTAGTTATTTTATTTTCCATTAGACATACGGAATATTGGTTTTGCTTATAATGTCATGAGTGTAATGTCTATCCCATAAAGTCTCTCAGGAAACACTGCTGTCATGGTAAATAACTACGCAGTTTGTATTTGATGGCAAATTTTATGTATTGGTTGCATTGCACCACTGTGTTTTATGTGTTGCAGTGCACTGTTTCCTCTAGCTTGATTTTTGCAAATGAAATGGTTTCAAAAATAAGCGGAATTGCTGAGAGTGGATCATGGACAGACAGATTCTGCACATCTCCTTCACAGGATCTTTTTGCAAAGTCATAAAGTAGATACGGTAGAGACGGGGGGAGCAGTGGGAGCGAGGGCCAGTTTTCATAAGCACCAGGCAAATCCTTTACGTCAGAAATTCTCATGGAAGTGCAGAGTTTTTGTATTTAAGTACTAGTTTTGCATCATGCTGATGGTACAGCTGATAGTCATTTTAAGGTGGGCATGGGGGGAGCGGATTTAGATAGGTAAGCTTCTCATAAAGTGGTGTAAAGAAATCTGTTTGCTCTCATTTTGTTTGTGGCAGGTTTCTTTCTTCCTCTACTTAATTAAAACCAGTTTCCTTTCCCCTCTCTGCATCATTTTAACATCAGTGGATTGTTTTTTTTTAAAGGTCTGTGGACAAGTGTGTCATAATACATGAAACTGTAAGTATAACGCAGCACGAGATCATTAATCAGGTGGTTGTCTTTCAATCAGCACTGCTCCCGCAGTGTCTTACCAACACAGAGAAGTATTGAGGAGTAGAAACTGTATAAACCCAAAATATTTACTGTGTCTTTGGGGTAGGGGGAAGGAGTTTGAGAAAGAATGTCTCCTGAGAGTTGATCAGTCTTTCTCACTTTTTATTTACTTTTCTTTGAGGGATTTGTTATTTGATTTCTCTACAGTAGAGTATTATTCAATTAATTCCTTATTTACAAGTTATCCTCATATTGAAGTAGAAGGGATTTTTTGTTATCCTAAATTTATCTTAGCTTCCAAAGCAAGGACTATAGCTTTTGATGTAAAATTTGGAATGGTAATTGTAAAAATTCCTTCGTTACTTATATATCAAGTGCACATAAAATAGAAGCATAATAAAGAATTCAGGAAAATGAGTTTATGTTAAATATGATGTCTCTTCTTTAAAACATATTGTCTAGGCATTTTCTGTAATACTGTTATTAAATCTTTCATGGTTTAGCTGTGTTATTTGCCTTTAGTACTTTTTATAGTATTAAAAATAATAATAATTTTGCTGAAAATGAAGGATGAACAAATTCTAAGCTTCTTTCACTTGCTCTGCACATGCTATTATACTGATACAATTTTTAAATTATTTTTTTTCACCAAAATCATTAATTTGATACCTTCCCAGTTTTGGGCCTAATTATTTCAGTAGTTTGAAGCTTAGACAGGTGTGAAAGAAGTCGCCTAGATTTTTGGAACCCCAGAACATTGAAAGATGCGGAGCACCACAGCACAAGTGTTTCTTAATACTGTTTATTAACTTTTGTGGCCTTAGGTTTTTGTCAAATGGACAGTAACTTCATAGCTGTTGAGGAGAAGTGGAGACAATAAACCTTCATGGGACAGAGAGAGGTTTCAGCCTAAAGTAGTACATGTTCCACATCATGGGCAGCTCAGAAAAATGCAGTGCTGATCAGTTAGTGAGTCAGAATAACTGTGTTCTTCATCTTTCCAATCTCTCTGTACCTGTCAAAGAAACAGTATTTTTCCTAAGGAGGAAAATCACATCCTAGTTAAAACGGGAAATTCAGGAATTTGTTTTTTAAATAGTACCATCTAGTGGCCACACAGGAGAACCACAGGTGTGATTGATTAGCCCGATTGAAGGATTGTGGCACGAAATCTGTTTTGAGTTTCAGCTACCTCTTCACTTTTGGTCATTTCTAATCTTAGATTTTAGAAGAAATGCTTTTATCCACATAAGCAACCATGCAGTGTGGATGTAATTAATTCAGTTCTGGCGTTGTGCTGACGACTCCGTGCTGGCTGATAGCTGAAGGGTAGTGGTGTTCCAGTGGGTTGAGTAGGGGGCTTCAAGCAGGAGATTCAAGTTGCATTTCCAACTCTGCTGCTGCTGAGCTTTGGCAGCCTTTCTCCGAAGGCAACTTCTGTCATCTTCCAAGAAGCAGTAGTATTCCTTATGTTGAAAGAATGTATACAAATGAATGAATATTCTTTTTATTATTTTAAGATTTAAAATCACAAATATTCTTTTACAGAGTACTGCCAATACCGTTCATACTTTGTCTCAGCATACCAGGTAAGAATTCAGTATGATTACTCTGTTGTACTGTTAATAAATAAATTAAATCCTTGTGAATTTTCACACATTTATTTTTATTTGTAGATATGTAACAACTTGTGCTTTTGCACCGTGTAGTCCCTTACTTGCCACAGGTTCAATGGATAAAACTGTGAACATATGGCAGTTGGACCTTAGGCAACCCTGTGCAGGTTAGTGTGGGAAGTATTTGTAATCCATTCTTTAAATTTAAAGCACAGATGCAAAACCCCCACTTTTTCTTACATGGAGTTAGTTTGTAACCTCAGGAGTCTGTGCATGTTCCTTATCTTTTCTCCAAATTGATCTTATTAATGTCCTACAGAGGTATTCTCTTCTTGTTTTTAAAAGATATATGAGAAGTAATTTAATTGTATTAATCTGCTGTATGTTCTTCTCTGATGCTCGCCATTTCTTACTCTCTGAGCAGCATTTAAGAGATGGGTTTTATTCCCAGAGTGGTCAAGACTTTTTGGACAAGTATCATTGACAATGATTTAAACAGAAAATATGCTAATTGCAAGCACAATTGTCAACAAGAAATACAGTTTACCAGTTGTTATATGTGTAAAAAATGGGATAATTAATGTCACAGAATATATCAGCACCTCAAGTATGTGAAACAAAGGTATATAGATCTTTGTTCAAAGCACAAGAGCAAGTCTGGGCTTGGCTTTGCTTTTCTAAGGAGGTGTGAGACTTGGTTTCAGTGTCTGCTGATGGTTTTCCATCTTCAAATTTGACAGAAGTGTAGGCATCTGAGAGATTAACTTCCTCAGAACTTTGAAAATTGATGGGTAAAAGACAAACACAAATTCCAGCTTCCCATTGAAGTAATGTCTAATAAGCATTTCTGCTGTTAGATGCTGGGGAATGTATAGTACTGAAAACACTTGGAAAGAGCAGTCATTGCTGCCACTGTTCTTGGAACTGGGGCTTTTTTCATTGCTGGGGTTGGGGGAGGGGGGTGAGGCTGTTGTTTGGAGGTTTTTTAACTGTCTTTTATCTTTTCTTTCCAAAGGAAATACTGTAGAAAATGAATCTAAGATGGCTGTTGAGGACTGGTCAGAGGACGATGTTTCAGCCTGGCTTTGTGCACAAGACTTAGCAGACTTTGTTGAGCTTTTCAAAATGAATAACATTGATGGCAAACAACTACTGAATCTTACTAAAGAAAGTCTGACTAATGAATTAAAAATTGGTAAGAGTGTAGAAATCCACATAGCTTTTAATCTTTAGAGTACGTGTGAAATGTTGGAATGAATGTTACTTGGGAGTTCCATACATGGATGTTTTTCTCCCTGAAATGCATTTTTATTTCATTTCCAGGGCTGATAAAAACCCCTGATGTCACATTATCCATGATACTCTTTCTTTGTGTGTGTTTGCTTATACCTGGGGACATAAAACGCACTTCCACCAACAATGCTGTGTTAAGTGGTCTTACCTGCTTTTGTTTCTGTTTTCCTTCTTAGATCTTGTGTCATTAAGCTCTGGAAAAGGATTTTTTTCTTTTGTGTATACTTAATGATTCTGACTTTGGTAAATAGGGTAGTCTATAGTTTTTCCTATCAGTCTGCAAAAGTGTCGTGTTTATAATACTATGTGGTCAACTACCTGGAGTTTAGCAGTGAAATTCTTCAGAGTACTGTTACCATAATAGAAAAACACAAGGTATGTTTTAGATTTTACTGATCTTGGAGATGAAGCATTTGATGTTGACATTTAGTAAGGATCAAGCAAAGCTTGCCTGGCTTAGAGACTTTATAATTCATCAGGTGTCCTAGTTAATACATTGTCTTCTCACATTATTGCAAAACCGTGATTGCATTTTAGAAGGAATCACAAGGAGGTGCCATATTAGTAACGAGTCCACAGCAGTAGTTCTGAAAAAAGAAATGTAAGGATGGTGAACTACACTGGAACTTTCCGAATATAAGTTCTGTATTCATTTTGATGGCAAGATTTGGGTGTAAATGAGGTGCTGGTATGTTTGCCACAGTGAGATCAAATATAGCAAAAGGCTGAATGAGTTAAGAAACCTTTTAAAAAATACAGGTTTATTTTTAGAAGTTAGTATTCTTCATTGTAGGAAGACTGCTCCCTTTTATGTTCTGTGCCTGTGTGGCATTGGCCTGTATCAGATCATCGTATCTCTGTATATCAACTAGTGCTGCTGAATTCTAGAAATCAGCAGAGATACTGGGAATCTGCCAGGAATTGTCATCCATGAAAGACTCTTGGCTTCATCCGTTTCTGCACGCCTTTTCCTTAACATTGGAGTAGCCTAAACCTGTTGCAGCAATCACCAGCTGAGGCTCACCAAATAAAGCTGACTAGAAAGTTGTGTGGGAATTGACCGCAGTGTGACAGATGAGGAGAGTTGACCTGTTGGATTTAGCATGCTCTGCTCTGTGGGGAAAAGGAATCAACAACAACACGTGTTGCCTGATGGATTTGTAGTGACAATTTCAAACATTCAAAAATTGCTTGTCAGAACAATTCAAACTCTGGTTTAGACAATCTGAGTTGTAAGAGCCCATTGTAAGGCAGGCTTTAAGATGCAAAGGATGGTTGTGGCTTCAGGCAGAGCAGCTCTGGGTTACAGGCTGGTTGTTGGCACTTCCATCTGCTGTAGAAGGATGTAGTGAGGATTGGGTGTACATACAAGCTGAAGTACCCTCACTATGTGCTTCCCCATTACCAGGTGAAATACTCATTGCTCCGTCTCTGTTCTCACGACTTTGGCCTTTTGCCATGCTTTTTCTTCAGTAAGTACTTCAACACTCATGGCAAAATAATAAGATGTCAGATTTTCACAGGTATCAGGCAGCCATAAGAAATGTCAGGATTTCTGATTTCAGAAGGTTCAGGATTTCTCCTTTTTAACAGACACAATGACACATTCATTTTAATTCTGTGATGCAGCTGAGTCAGAAAACGGAATATGCATCCTCTTCCAATTCAGAATCGAAGGTGGGGTACCTTGTTCCATGCCTGCATGCTCTTTTCCTGTCAGGCGAACTGGATGTGTTAATGTAAGGTGACTCATGACTTCAGTTTGTTTGCAGAGGGTGAGCAGGAAGTGAGACTAGCTCCGATTTTTTGGAAAACCACACCTTCAGTTTAGGGATTAGTGCCAGACAAAGTATTTTGTACTGTAATATTACAAATTATAAAGAAGTTGGAGGCATTCTGAGAAGGCTTCTTTTGATGTGACTCTACCCTGATTTAGGTTAGGTATGTAAATAGAACAGGTTGTCTTAAAGACAGTTCAGTGCTTTCCACACTTACTGCAGGGTGTCCTTAGAACATAAACCAAGGGTGAATACACATAAACTGAATTTTGAAATCTCAGATCAGGCAGACTTTGTCTTCTCTTCATTAGAAATGGGTTACCAAAAAAGATGTGGGGGTTTTGTCTTCCTCTTTTGGTTTCACTCTAGGTACATACAGAAAGTGTGAGTAAGTTCTTTCCTGTTTCACATCTTTGTCAAGAAACTCTGGGTCAATGAGCTTGTAAACAACGTTTTGGAGCAGAATTTGAATCACTTGTGATTCACCATGCCTTACATGTATACTGAAGTAGGGGTAAACTTTGGGGAAATTGCTCAGTAGAGATTAAACATAAAATTGCATGTGCTTTGCCTAGATCAACAAAATCTTATTTTAAGTGTTCTTTTATAACTAGTTTTCAAAAGATAATGTGTCATGGATTTAATCAGGAGATAGTTAATTGAGGTGCAAACTGGATGCAATAATCTTTAATCTGTTTGCATGAGAGGAATTTAGGAAAAATTGCCCATGTGATGAAAACTGTAGAAGATGCCATCAAAATCCAGTTATAACTACAGAATGATATGGTTCCTTCCCCCCCCCCCCCCCC